GACTCGGGTCTGTGGTGAGCAGAGTGTATCCTGACCCCCCAGAGATGCCCACTTCCCGATCCCTAGAACATGTCACTGGCAAAGTGGAATCAGGCTTGCAGGTAGAATTCAGGTCACCTTCAACTGACCTGGAGATGAGATGGTGAGCTTATCCTTGGCTACCCAAGTGGGCTCACTGTAATCACAAGGGCTCTTAGGTGTGGAAGAGGCAGGAGAGAGAGAGAGAGCGAGGAAAGAGAGAGAGAGAGACTAAGTGTGAGGACTCAGCCCAAAGTTGATGCCTTCGAAGGTGGAGGGGAAAGGGGCCATGAGCCAAGAAAGGCAGGATGGACTCTAGGAGCTGGAGAAGGTGAGGAGAAGCGTTCTCCACAAAGGAACCAGCCCTGCAGCCACTCTGATTTCAGCTTGCTGAGACCCATTTTGGACTTCTGACCTCTAAACTACAAGGTAATAAATTGTGTTGTTTCATGCTACTAAGTTTGTAGTAATTTGTTACAACAGCAGTAGAAGTTTTACACAAACCCTGTAGCATATAGTAAAGACGTTCACTGAGTGAGGCAGGAAGCCATGGGAAGGATTGGGTGGAGGAGTGATCTGATTTGATCTAATGGGACCACTCTGCATGTTGTGTTGAGAACAGACGGTGGAAGAATTCCTTCCTTCATCTAGCTTTTGGCTCGACTTTTCCCTATTTATTTCCCTATTTATTAAGTTCACTTAAGATTTAAAAAATATGATTTCCCATGTTTTGTATGTCAAGGTCTCTCTGATCTGTTTTGTTGTCAGAAATGAAAGTGTGAACTGTACTTTAAATTAAGCTTCTAAGGAAAACGCATCAGAAAAAACTGAGTACCTCAATATATGAAATCAAGTGACAGAGTTCCAAGCAGATCAGGTTAGAGAATATGGATAAAGAGACTTTGAAGACTAAAAATGATCTTCCTTACAAGAAAGGGAATACAAAAACATTTTTAGGTGACATAAAATGCTTCTTATGCTATTGTGTTTTCAAGTCCTAAAAAACACATTTAAAACTTGCCATTAGAATGAATTCAATAGCACTTTGTCACAATAGGCTCTGCTCAGAGAGTAACTTTGCCTGGAAATAAATGTGCTCACAATGAAAATATTTCAAGGAAGACTGCTAACTTTCCCCCAAATGGGTGTAGATGTTGTGAAACTTTGCTTCAGCAATATTCGTGATGGTGCTAAGGCGAGGGGCACAGCGGTGTTGTTTACTTTGTGTAAACCATATCTAGAAGAGTCACCACAGGAGTGAGCAGAAACAGATACAAGAGTAAGCAGTCAATATGTCTAGGTTGTAAATTGACCCAAAATGTGAAAAGTATGTTTTAAAATATTAAATGATCCATTTATATCTTAACACACAGTAAACACTTATTGGCTTGTTAATTACTCTAGCGATGCCACTGTTACCTTCCCCACTCCTTTATTGTTATTTCAGAGCCTTTATTGCCTCTCCACTAGGGGTAAGGGGAAACATTCCTCTCATGTGCACTTCTGAAAGGACCAAGCTCTGCTCCAGCCTGCAGAGGGGTCTGAGCAGCCAGGTTAACATACAGAATGAATCACTGGCTCCAACAAAGATCCAAAAGGTCTTGTCTAACTGTAAGAAAGAGGTTCTTATAAAACATTTTACACACATTCTTAAAAACTTAAATACAATAAACCTTTAATTATATGCATTATGGAGATGGGTAGGTGGCATTAATACCTTAAAATAGTTAATTAATAATACAGTATACAAAAATAACTTTTATTTAGCTTTGAAAAGCCTTGGAATTTCCTTCATCATTTTTCTTTCTCAGTTATTTTTCTCTTAAGCTAATAATAAAATTTTCTGTTCTTGAATGCAGAGCAACTGATTGTGGAAAGACATGGTTTGGCATTCTGATGGATGGAGAGAAGCTGGTCTAGGATTATAATTTGAATTTGAACAATCCACAGTTAGATATTTAGAAGTTGACTGTATTCCCATATCGTCAATATTTCTGAGTCAAGATTACCATATTTTGCCATGTACAATGTGCACCTTTTTGCCCAAACTTCTGAGGGAAAAAGAAGGATGCACATTGTACATGGGTAGTACTAATTCTGTATCTATATAAACCTTTTTAATTCTTTCATTTATGCTTATCATTAAAAGTATAACTTTAGAAAGCAATAATGATATCCATATTCAAAATAATATCCTGGAACACGATAATTAGTTTTTCCCCTAAATATAAATAAAACATTGAATTAAAAAATTAAAATGGAAGTTTTTTTCTGAAGGTTTTAGCCAAAAATGTGGGTGTGCATTATACACAGCAAAACACGGTATTACACTACAGCAGAGTCTTTTACCCCAGGGTTCCTTGTCCTAGTCAGTCCCCTCTCCATTTCTTCCATGCTCATACAGATAACTATAGCTCCCCTAAAGGTCTGTGTGTGGGAGTGGTGCCAGAAAACCTATAGGGTGAACATGAGAAGACCTTGGTTCTGGCTCTTCCCATTGGCCATTGCAATCCAGGAGGCATCCCTTGATCTTTTTGAGACTCAGCAGCTTACTATGTGCAGGGTGGGGGGTGGTGATAATACCTGTGTTTACTTACCCTCTGGGGTTACTGTGAAGATCAAATCAGATAATATACTTGAAAGTACTTTGAAACTTATAAAGTATTATACAAATAAAAGATGTCTGTTGCTTTAGCACTCAGAATACTTAAGAGATTTAAAGAAATCCTACTGTAGTCATAAGGCAGATTAGGATAAAAGAGTTCATAAAATTTATCATTATTAGTAAAAAAAATGTACTCAGAATACATGCCAGTGGTATTATCTCTGTGAATTGAAAAGCACATTTTTTTTTTTGCTTTATGTCCTGTGAGGGTGCTCTTCTGGAAGCCTCTGTGTACAGCACTTGGAGTTTCCAGTCCTCCGGATCTCTTCCCTCAAGTCCACCATCTACCATCTGCCTCATGCTTCTGGGCAGCCAGATTGCCTTGGAAATCTGATCCTCCCTATTCCCCTTCAGAAGCCACACTTCTTTTCCTAAAAAAAAGGGCTGCCACATCAAACTGTGAGCCCTCTGTCCTTTTAATAACTCCCCAGTTCTTGTGGGGCAAGGTGGAAGTACCCCATGGTGACAAAGAGGCAGGACAGCTCTCTTTTCCTTCTGATTCATCACAGTGCAGATTTATCCTATGTTGAATTAAAAGTTATTTAATGTGGCCCTATGATCCAACATTACCCCAAGACATTTAATTTAAAAAGTTATTTAAGGGCAGAAATTATATATTACACTTTATATTTAACCAACTAGTGTCTTACATCCTATAGATACTCAGTAGATACATATTTGCTGAACTGATGTGCTAAGAAATGTGTCAGGTAATTTGCTTTATCAGGATTTTTCAGCCTAGATTATTAGGTTATTTGTTTAATTATGTAATTAATAATCTATATTTAAATCTGGGATTGCTATGAAGTAAAGTCCTGCTCCAAGTAACACCTGCCAATTGACAACTTCCTTGCTTTTCTCTTTACATTACTTATTCTTATGCTGTGCTTGTGACTGGGTGAGAATGTTGGAATATATGCCAGACAAGGAAAGGAATTGGATTGGATGGAGAAAAAAATCTAGTCCTTGCCTTGGAGTTTAAATGAATGAAAATAAGCCCAGTGATGGAATCATAATTGAAACGTTAAACTTCTGTTATTATCAAAGGTACTCTACTATTATATTATTCTTTTTCTTGCCATTAGAGATCTGGTAAGGGATTCTAGTAAATTGGAAGTAGAGAGCAAAGTTGAGGCATCTCTGATTCATAATAAAACTATACTTTTCAAGGTATTCTTGTTAAAGGTGACAGGCATTTCTGAATGTTTTCCTTTTTTTAAATTGAAATTACAACAGCACTGTTATTTTCATTTCTACATATGTTTCCTAATCTCTGTTCACATGTATAGATGTTTTACATATTTGCCTTTTTTCTGTGCTTACTATGTTCATTCTTGAGTTGCCCCAGGAGGCTCAGAATTTCTGAATGGCCTGGAGAATCCTAATCTGTGCCATTGCAGAAATTGACCAGAATGGTCTGATGTTCCCTGGGCAGGTACCTCCTCAAATTTAGAAGACTAGGGTTAAGGGCTGAAGCAGAAAATGACTGGGGGCTGTAAGATACCAACCAGTGATATCAATGGAAAAGGAATGAAGATTAGGTTTTATAAGGGAAGATAATAGGTAGATGTGTAGGTAACAATTTCAGGTGCCAGCAAGGTCTCTCTTCCCACCCAACTAAAACAAATGAGAAACAAAAATGAAAACCTAACCAAAGAAACAACCACACCAATAAAATCACCTCTTTACTAGTTAACAAATACTTGAAATTAGTGTAAGAAAGCTGTAACATTTAAACAGGAAAATTTTAAATATGTAAGTTGACAAATTTTACAAGAGGTCAAGAGAAGATGGTAGTCTCTGATAGAATGGGGGGTGCAGATGGTCATGTACAGCCCATACACGCTTGTCGAGAAAGACACGGTAGTCGGGCAAAAAAGAAAAGCAAAAAAAGCAAGCTATAGAATAGGACAGAGTTTATCGATACTTAATTTTGCCAGGGTCAGGTTGTTTCAGATTTTTTAGGTTACAGAATAGAGGATTGAGGGAAAGTGAAATGTCCAATTGGAAGTCATCCTAGAACTGCAACAGAAAAGAATTTCGCTGGTTTGCAGGAAGGAGGTGGAAAAGTCCCTCCAGAGCTCTCGGGATCAGGACTCAACACCCGCCGTCCCGAGAGCAGTTCAGGTGAGGCGAGGAAGACGAGGGCCTTTAGGTCCACGGCGTGCTCGCGGAGCAGTGCGCGGCAGTGGTCCGCACTGCAAACAGGTGGCAGGAGCCGTGCACTGCATACAGGTGGCAGGAGCCGCGGGTGGGCCGCCAGGCGTCGCGCAGGAGCTGCGGTTGCCTGGGAGACCGAGCAGGGCTAGTGGGCGGCGCGGAGCCGAGGGGAGCCGGGCAGTTGCGGGAGTAGCAGGGCGAGAGTTGGGAGGGGGTGTGGCTCCCAGGGCAGCGCGGGAGACTCGGGGGTCCTGGGGCAGCGAAAGGTGGCCTCGCCGCTGGGAAGTGAGGGCAGCGAGCGTAGCGAGTACGCTGCGCGCCTGGTCGTAACTCAACCTCCTCCACCGAACGAGGCGGCGCGGGAGCTGCACTTGCCTAGTCTGCGCGTCCGACTGTCTCTGCCCCGCCGGGGTGACTGCGGCCGGGCGGCCAGTCAGGGAGAACCAGGCTTCCTCGAGAGCCCGGCCCGCGCCTCCGCTATCGCGAAGAGGAGCCGGGTGGGCGGCGGGCGCGCTTCCCTGCGGCACCGGCATGACTTCTCTGGGTTCTTCTCTGGCGCCCTTGCTGCTCCTCTCTCTGCACGGTGAGTAGCCCAAGCCCTCCGCTCCTGGTGGGGCCAGGCTGGGCCGGCGGGCCTGGCGGAAGCTGTTTGGGGATCGCCTGTGCCAGGCAGGTCTCGGAAGTCCAACTTTCTAAGGGCCATCCCTAGTCGTGGTTGTTGGCCTAGACTCATGCGCTCACCTGCCCCGGCTGTCCCAGCGCCGGCGCCCCACTTCCACGCCTCCGGCACAGCCCAGGTGTTCCCTAATCAGAGAGGTAACCACACCTGCTTCTTGGTTACCGCGATCCTGGACCTGACTCTGACCCCGCTCTACTCTTTTTTAGATAATGAACTCCCGTATTTACAGAGTCCAGTGAGAAACAGTATTTAGAATTAGTTTCTTTTACCAGGAGGCCCCAGGAAAACTAGAGATGCCTTTAAAATAATTTAGAAAACTTTAAGTCGTGCTTTTACATAACCTTTAACAAACATATGCAGGTTTAATTGAAATTGTGATCTCTATTTTAAAAATAACTATACAGTATGCCACACTATATTTGAAACCAAGAATTTGTTTTTTAAACTCTAGCTTCTTCCCCAAAGGATTTAAACTGGCTTGCAAAAATACTAGAATATAACCATATTAGAAGAAAAGGAATAAACGTCTTTACTTTTCTTGTTAACAGTTTCTACAAATCTATTTACATTTAATTTTATACTCTCCATTTAATGTTTCTTACATTTTATTTTCTACGAGTAGCCATCATATGAGAAACACAACTGTTTTTCATCTTACATGGTGCCTTTTTCCTTTCTGAATGCACTGTCCTGTGGAATCAAGTCTTCTGTTCTATTTAATTGATCGTTGTGATTTACTGAGATTTATTTTGAAGGGTTTTATTTTAAAAGCAGGTTCAATGATTGATGAAAGATTGTGGTTAACTGTTTATTATTATTTTTCCTAGAGATGTCAGTATGTTTCCCATAGTTTTATGGTCTTATCTGAGCTGATGATGTACCCATGGAGCTTGAAGTAACCTAATACTTGCTGGCAGATTTAAGTTGCACAAATTCATATAGTAGGAGAGAAATGAACACAAAACTTTATATACCTTTCCATAGAAGCCAGTGAAGGGAATAATCAAAATTATAGGAAAATTTCATGGAGTTCAATAGGTATATTTTTAGTAATGATGTGTAGATAATGATTGACATGAGTGAGTGCTTCCAAATTAATTTTGTCTGGTTACCAGTTTGAGAGACTTAATGTTTTTCTCTGTCCTACTTCTTTCAAGTGTGAAATAATATTGAATAAATGGTCTTCTTATATAATCCCTTGGACATAACTGAAAATATTGTAAATGTTACTATATGAACAGCTGAAATTTTTGGCAAAAAAGATGTTAACCTTTGTATATTATAATCAATGCCATGCTTTTTTTTTGTAAGCAGCATTTGTGTATAGTTTTTTTGAATTATTAGGCAGTACTTTAAAGAGTTGATGTAATTCGTAGAATCTGGCTTACAAGGTCATCTGCTTTGTTTCTTTTCCTAAAGTAGAACTATTCCTAAGCCATCCTAGAATGTTTTAAAGGCTTCCAAGGACAGTTTAGCCTTCATGATAATCTATTCTGTAAAGGAACTTTTCACCCTCAGAAATGAAAAAAATATGTTCACACGTTCAGTGAATTTTTACTGAGCTACTCTGGTGGGGAGGGATGGTGATGGGAAATAAAGATGCATAAGAGTTTATCTATAACCTTTAAAGAGTTTGCAGTTTTGAAACAGGCTGCAAGCATGCACAGATGATTTATGATGCAAGGAATATGTAAGGAGTGCTGTTTATTGATGGTCATATCAAGGAAGACTTCATCAGAAAGTTTACTTTTGGTCTGGACTTTGAATGAGTGGGATTTGAATTTACTGAGTTGGCAGCTATTGGACTTTCCTAGCCAAAGGAACAGCCTGGATGAAGGATATGAAATGGCAAGTGCCGGGCCATATTCTGCTGGAAAGGCCAAGCCCTTCCAGCTGCTAGAACAAGAGATTGTACAAAGGAGATGAGGCTGAAAAGGTAGTACAAGGAGTACAGGGCCTTGAATGCTCAGTTTGGGATCTATTCAGCAGGCCATTGAATGGCTACTGATACTCAGTTTCCTAAGTGTGGGGCAGGGGAAGAAGGTTACACAGCTACTGAGTGGGTAGCTTAATAGTCTCCTGGAGAGTACCATGCCCTGGCTGGATTAAATTCTGAACCAGTCAATGGCAAAGTTGGATTCAGTGAATTAGGGCCCATCCCTAGGATTTCCAGTGTGGAATGAGAGGGAGGAGTAGTAGAAATCTGAAAAGTTATTTCCATTGTGAAGAAACAAAAGGGAAATGGATGCTCCATAGATACCCATTTGTAGCAGTGACCACTACAGTGGCATATTGTACCAAAGGTAGAAATGGAGAGTGTCTTGAATTTTTGAAAGAAAATACATGTCAAGACATTTCTGTTTTTATTTTTGTTTACATCTCTGTGGCATAAACTTCAAAGGGAATTTGATTTGAAAAACTGATTACTACTATATAATTCTACCAATGGGTTAAGACATACAGTCAAACCTCAGTTCTCCACCATGTTGGTTCTCAGACAATTCAATTCTTGACCAAGTTTTCACGGAAACAATGTCTTGGTTGTCTAACAAAACTTTGAGTCTCATTTTTTACCTGACACCCCTTTCATGTTGATAAAACCCTTTCATGTATGATCAGTTATACATCTCTGAGGTGGGAAAGGGCATTTGGTTTTCAAACAAATTGCTTCTTGAACAGTTTTCTGGAATAAATTAAGTTCGAGAACTGAGGTTCTCTAAACCAGTGGTCTCCAACCTTTTTGGCACCAGGGACTGGTTTTTGTGGAAAATGGTTTTTCCATGGCCCTGGGGGTGGGGGATAATTTCAGGATAATTCAAGCTCATCTCCTGCTGGGTGGCCCTGGTCCCTACCAGGCCCGAACTGGTACCAGTCCATGACCTGGAGGTTGGGGACCTCTGCTGTAAACTGTTTCTTGTACTGCTTGTGATTCCTTGAAATAGTGAATAACTTCCCAGAATATGAGAAAAGTATAAAAGAAAGAAAAGACCATATAAAGCGAAATAAAAATAAATTATGAGCCTAAACGTTAGCATTATGAAAAATTTATTGTAGCCCTGGCTGGGTGGCTCAGTTACTTGGAGCATCATCCCATACACTGCATAGGCGGCAAACACAAGGCCCAGATCCAGCCCTCCCCCTTGTTTTATACAGCCCGGCACCTTGTTTCTACCCAGCTGCAATGCTAAGCTCTTGGTTAACTGTTCAGGAGTAGTTACATTTATACAGTCATAAATTACATTCAGCCATTTGAAGGCAACTGTGAGGCTGATGTGGCCCCTGGTGAAAATGAGTTCGACACCCCTGCCTTACACCAAAATGTTGTGTGTTCCGTCCCCAGTCAGAGCACATACCTAGGTTGTGGGTTGGATCCCCAGTTCGAGGGTGTGTATGGGAGGCAACCAATTGATATTTCTCTCTCTGTTTCTTCAGTTTCTTAGCTCTAATTTTAGTTATGTAACTGTTTTGGAAGAACTCACTTTTTAGTAAAATATCTGTAGTTTGACCTACATGAAAGGTGACAGCCACTGGGCGAAAATTTTAGATAAATTAAGCTTACACGATATAGTCAACCCGAACTATTCAGGAAGCACTTGAAATATTAAAGCACCAAGTGCTTCTAAAATGTTATGCTTAGAACTGTTGTCAGACCCAAGGCAATGATGCAATGGGTAAGGATTTTTATCCCCCAGTAACAGTATGTGGCACATTTTCCAATGTGTTTTCACACTTTGATAGTGGAAGCATTTATAATGAAAAGTCTCATTTAAATCTTCATACTTAAGCCATGTGATTTAGTGTCAAACAGGGTGATGTGATGGCCCGTAAGATTCTTTAGTTGCAGTGAGTTATGCAGAACAAGGGACTGGAGAGCCTAGCTGAGTCTGGGAGAAAGTTGGGGACCACTGTGGTGTTCCCACTTAAATTCTGATCTATAGTTTATTTAGAATAGGGATTCTGAACCTATTTGTATATGTACTAATGATGCTGATTTCTGTATTTTTGGAGGTAGAAGTAAGATTGCTGGATTTCTGGTAGTCTGGTCCCTTCAAGTCCCCTCTTTTGTTTGTTGAGGGCCACTTGGCACTCACACATCACTCCCTTGCATTTTGAGGGCAGCTCAGACCATCTGGAGACTCCGAAATCCTCCCTTGATTGTACTTTGAAAGTGATTGGTTTCAGAGGGGTTGTCAGTTCTCGGGTGGTATTCAAAACACCATCTGATTTGAGCTGGATTTGGTCTTAAAAGTGGAAAGTTAATTAGTTTACTTGTGAGTTAAGCCGATCTTAACTAAACTGTGGAAGGGTTTTTTCCTTTCTATTAAAGTTTGATTCACTCTGTACCTGGTTTCCTACCATCTAAGAAAGAGACTATAGTTTGTATTTGTGATGGTTTTAAAATTATAGAAATGTTAAGTCAATCAAAGAGAAAACCTATTTCCTAGTTTTACAAATGATAGACTCAGCCATTGATCTGATACCAGCTCATCTCTACCATTATCAGATACTACACAATATGTGCAATATCGCATGGCTCTGCCTCACTCATGTGTTATAAGAATATCACATTTTAATAAATGTCCTTAAAATTTCTGTTTATAGGATTAACAGTACAAACTTGCCAGTGTGAACAAGAAATCTATTGAATAAAAAATCCTTAGAGGAAATATACTTCCTGATTTCTCTTCATTTCGCATTTTGATCTTGAGAGGGGTAAAAAATGACAGGGTTAGATGCACACTTTTATTTAGAAAAGCACGTGGCTAAAGAAATTGAGGTGCTTGTACCACATGGATTCTTTGGATGATTCTTCAGAGAATTAGGTTAATATCAGTGACTGTGAATGAGAGTGGGTCAGGATTCAGGGTTGAGATAGACGGTTAAAGTATAATAGCTTTGGAAAT